AGTTACGAAGGCCTTTATGAATTACCTTGGTATAATCATCTACTATAATTAGAGTTGTCAGTAACATTTGTGGCTAAAATATACTTTAAAAAAATACGAAAATAATGAGCTGTTAGTCTTCAAAACCATAGCTTATAGTAATAATCACAATTTTGATTATGCAATTGATACATATAGTTATGATATTACGACGATAATTACCAATATTTCCGTGGTCAGAATGGACTTTATTTTCTCTCTGTTTCTTTTTGATCTTCCTCTCCAACTGAACTTTTCTTCGCTTCCCTTTTCCTTCTCCTCCAGTTCCGCCCGCCCCCCCTTCGCCTCCCTCCCCTCCTCCCCTCTCACCTGTATTTACCTAACCCAGGTGCGACGTGCCTTGGGAAGGGAAGATCCTGCCGAAGTACTGCGTTCCCTACGAGGACACGCCCCCAAACACCCAGCTCTTCGTTAAGAATCTCAACCAGGCCGTCGACATGATACAGAACGAGGGATACAAGATGGCTATGGTATTCGAAGTGCTCTGTTGTTTGGGTTCGAGGGAGGGGGAGGGGGGAGGGAGGGGTAGGGAGAGGGAGGGAGGGAGAGGGAGGGAGGGAGAGGGAGGGAGGGAGAGGGAGAGGAAGAGGGAGGGGTAGGGAGAGGGAGGGAGGGAGGGAGAGAGAGAGAGAGAGAGGGGGGGGGGGGGAGAAGGAGAGAGAGAGAGAGAAACGGATAGACAGGATGAGACAGAGAGAGAGAGAGATGTGTGTGTGTGCTCGTGTGCGTGCACGTGTATATATGCGTGTTTCCTACCATACATCAAATAATCTAACCATTAACCAAAACCTCCTTTAATTTCTGCACAAACAGTCCCACAAAACCACTAAATTAAACCGCAACCAGCTTATCTAAGGTAACATCGATAAGACTACCATGTCCTTGTCTTCAGGTCTACGATGGGGTGATCGACACGCAAGGTCACGCTTACGGACCTACGTCTCCCGAAGTCACTGTGGCCCTCCGAGATGTTGACCTCGGTCTGCAGGGCCTGTGGGAGGATCTGGCCTCGAGGGACATGCTCAACACGGTAAGAGAGGAGGTTGTTGTGATAAGTGTAGAGCAATTGGAAGTGGGAGTTCCTTTCTCTGGATCTCTGGATCTCTATCATCTATCTATCTATTTATCTATCTATCTATCTCTCTATCTATCTCTCTATCTATCTATCTCTCTATCTATCTCTCTATCTATCTCTCTATCTATCTCTCTCTCTCTTTGTCTCTCTCTCTCTTCTCTTCTCTTTTCTTTTCTTTTCTTTTCTTTTCTTTTCTTTTCTTCTCTCTCTCTCTCTCTCTTCTTTCTCTTCTCTCTTCTCTCTCTCTCTCTTCTCTTCTCTTCTCTTCTCTTCTCTTCTCTTCTCTTCTCTTCTCTTCTCTTCTCTTCTCTTCTCTTCTCTTCTCTCTTTTCGCTTTTCCCTTTTCCCTTTTCCCTTTTCTCTTTTCTCTTTTCTCTTTTCTCTTTTCTCTCTTCTCTCTCCCCTATACAATTTACGCTTTGTGATTGACGTCTCGAAATGAAGGTAAGCGCGTCCAAAGAGGGTCTCAGTACAATACGTCAATTTAAACCTTCATCTGTAACATGGGCATCGATATATTCACGTCGATGCATTCATATCTCATGATTGAAGTGCAATAAAGTGAAAATATCGATGCTTGAGGTGAAAGCTAAAATCAGCAAAATATTTAATTGAACGGAACGAGTCTGAAAACACATTTGGACGCGCATGCTCTCACATTACAACTTTGTCAGCATTACGCGGTGGGATTCTTCATCCTCATGCATGCCTATTGAACGACCAAAACGTTATCGGTGCGTTTAGTTATATTCTTAGTTTAATGTATTACGCAAAGGGTATTTTCTTTACTTGGTTTTGACTGGAAAGTCATTTATGATACGAACCAGCCCGAAACAACAAAAAAATGAATAAATAACCAAATAAATATCAAAATTTCAATATTAATAAACAAATAAATATCAAAATTTCAATATTAATAAACAAATAAATATCAAAATTCCAATATTAACAAACAAATAAATATCAAAATTTCAATATTAATAAACAAATAAATATCAAAATTCCAATATTAATAAACAAATAAATATCAAAATTTCAATATCAATAAACAAATAAATATCAAAATTCCAATATTAACAAACAAATAAATATCAAAATTTCAATATTAATAAACAAATAAATATCAACATTTCAATATTACTAAACAAATAAATATCATAAGTTCCATTCCCTCTGAAACGACTCCGCAGACGAACGTGGTGGTGCTCAGCGACCACGGCATGACGGACGCCGGCCCGAGGGACAAGATAAGGCTGGATCTCGCCCCCTGCCTTGACTACGCGCAGGTTATCAAGACCACAGAACATGCCGGGTACATCAACATCCTCCCTACGAAAGGTTACACAGACCAGGTAATAGGATGCGTAGTTTAAAGGCTTACCTCAGATAACGTTGGGGCATTTAGTGAAGTAAAATGGAAGTTTACTGTACGATGAGAGAGATAGACGATCACTAAGCAGTTTCGGACCAAATTGCAGCGAAACAGTTTCACGTAATGCGAGTTAGTTTTCGGTTATTAAGTTATCAAAAGCACGCACGCGCACATGCAGTTCACACACGGCGTTTCAACAGGTAGAGGAGTCGCTGAAGAACTGTCCGGACGTTTCTGAGAACATCGAAGTAGTGAGGAAGGAGAATATGAAGGAACGTTACCACTACAAGGACCACAGACTCATCCACGAAATCATTGTGTTGCCGAAACTGGGTAAGTGCCGTTTCTGAGCTTGAGATGACTACATGATTGATTTTTGATAAGTATTATGTAATTATATATGGATTAGTATTATTACAATTGTAACATATGATAGTGTTATGATTTTTAGAAATAATGATATTTAATGATGCGTCTTATTAACACCAAAAGTTTTTTTTTCGATAATGTAACTATCGGCATCTAAGCCGAACTTATTTTAATCAATCATAAATCAACGAACACGAACGTAAGCCTTAACCAAACCTGACCCCACCTTCCTTCTCAGGCTATTACATAAAATCTCCGGAAACCAACTACTCCCTGCCAGAGCGAGAAGGAACATCCGTGGGGCAGCATGGCTTCGACCACACCCTCCATCAGACGCCAGACATGCGGGGGATCCTGTTCGCTTGGGGCCCGTGTAAGTCCAGATGAATTCAGAGAGTAGGTTAATGCAAAATGTATATAAGTATGTATGTATATATATATGTGTGTGTGTGTGTGTGTGTGTGTGTGTGTGTGTGTGTGTGTGTGTGTGTGTGTGTGTGTGTGTGTGAGTGTGTGTGTGTGTGTGTGTGTGTATATATATATATATATATATATATATATATATATATATATATATGTATATATATATGTATATATATATATATATATATATATATATATATATATATACATATATATATACATTTTGGGTTAATGAGTTCTTAGGATGAAACTGGGGCGGTCATGTTACTACTGATCTTGTAAATGACCTTTTCTTAATTCAACTGATTTATCTAAAGGCCTCTTCTTGTTCACTTATTGACGAATAACCTTTTCGTATTAAACCGATTAGTTAATGACCCCTCCGTAGCCAAATGATTCGTTAATGACTTCTTATTCACTTAACACAAATAAGTTCTTCTAATACAACTGACTGGTCAGTGACCCCACGTTATTGACCTTTGATCTAATTACCTGATGGCCTCTAATTCAACTAATGACCAAATAACCCCTCCTTACAGCCTTCGTCTCAAGCCACCTCTTCTTATTCACCTGATTACTTAATGTCCTCTCGTTACTGAACTTGCTTCTTGTCTCTTATTTAACTAATGACCAAATAACCTCTCCTCCCAGCCTTTGTCTCAGGGCACAAAGCCGGGATTGTGGAACAAGTGGACGTGTATGGCCTGCTGTGCCGCGCCCTCCAGCTGTCGTGCCACGCCTACAATGGCACAATGGATCACGTGGAAGACTTTTTCGACTCGGGTTCCCCCTCCGGTGCCCCGTTCTCGTCCCATCCCCCAGTCCTCACCTACCTCTTGGTCGGTGTTGCCTCAGTCGTTGCCATAGCTGTGAGCGCCACCAGAGGGCTTGGTTGAGGAGGATGTTGAAGGGGGATGTTTGAGAGTGGGATGTAATCTTTGTGAAATAAGGAAGAATGGACAGCAACAGTGTCTAAATGAGTGTAGTGGCGTAGCTGGACTTTTCGGAACCTGGGGGGGGTAGGGGGGGGGGCAGCTCCTTTGAGAGGCGCCTAGGTTTATTTAGGTTTCTGAAGGAAAATATAAATGAGAAAATAAGAAACACATCGTTTGCTTATTTGAACATGAACAAATAATTAGTTTTGCCGGTAAGAAGACAATTCAAATTAAACGGAATTAATGGAGGCTTTTTAAGGTCCCCATCCATAGGGGGAGGGGGGAGGGGGGTGAAAAATAGCCCCCAGCAACGCCACTACTGATGTGTTTGTAAGTGTATTAATAACTGTTTTTCATCGTATGCCAAAATAAGAGAGTGAAATAGTGTATGTGTGTGTTTTGATAAATAATGGGTTATTGGTCGGTATTACCCAAACTATTGTTATCAAGTTCATAAGCTTAAAGACACTTTATTCTGTTTCTGTTTTCCACCCTGAAAAAAAAAATTAGGAAAAATTATATATCACTCTGTGTATTTATATAGAGAAGTACTGGTGTCATTTTGTTACCCACATGAAGCCTGACTGAATACTTTCAATGGAATGTTTAGAAGTAGATTGTAAACATTTCACAGGAACATTAAAAAATAAATTCAGTTTAGGAACCATTCATTAGGTTCCTGATTATATTCTTTCATATAGTGCAGAAAAAGAAAATCTATTTCAAAGGTAACAGATATTTGTAGTAAACATTTAGTCTTGCTATATATAATGTGTAGGAAAAAAATCATTTAAAATCATTTGATGGATTTTCTGATAATACTTATCATCAGTTGCACTTTGTGGGTGGATTCTTTCATCTTATTTGTTTATGTTTTTTTTTTTAGCATAATCTCTCTTTCCTGTTAGTATGATCTCATTTTGTACTGGGTAACATTACTTTTATTTTCCGTAAAGAGAAAACCGACAGCAGATAAAATTCCAAGACATATTGTTTGGTCTTCAATTCCTGCTGTATGATCTCAAATATATTGAAATTTGCTTATCAACTTTGGTAATTTCCTGAGGAAGGTTTAATGGCAGGTTTACTAATGTCCTTACTACTATTGTTAACCCAAGCATGTGTGTGAAGTGAACTCAGAATTAAAACATTATTAAGTCAAAGACAAGAATTTCAGTTTCAAACCCCAAGAGCACCAAATACACTGATGAAACACAAACTGCACCCAGCAGTGCAGGAAAATTTCTACTACAGTATCATCTACAACAAATTCACGACTGTTTGGATATTATTCTAGAAGTATAAATAACTAAGGAGTTTTAAAAAATGCTCTTTGATTAATCTAAAACATAACAGGCCCTTAAGGACAAAAAAAATTGAATTGGTAGAATTAATTTTGTAAGAAGGGATAGTCAAAGATAGGCTAGATAACTGTAATAGTTTATTATCTATTTTATTATCTATTGCTTGTGAAGCACCTTCATCAAATTAGAATCATTACATCACTTGGCAACACTGCACTAAGTATTTCTGTATTTCTTAATTTATGTATCTTGTTAATTAAAGTAGCACAGTCATTAATCACATACTGTATAACACATCCGTGGCGATTAAGTAAGCTGTACTTACTCATGTCATTCAGATGAACTCTAGCAATTTTCAGATATTGACCTGACTAACTTCACATAATGTTCTTGAATACATACCATACTGAAAATGATTTTCCCTCACAGAACCCTAGTCTTTCAATATACATACCCCATATCACCACAACACAAAACATGTAATTCAAGTATATTAAAGGATCAACATTTCACATATGACAAGTAAATGGATACTTCATAAGATTACGGTATATTGTTTATTAATTCACCTAGAAATACCTCACAGGATGTTACATACTCACTGGATGAAGTTTTCTTGAATACTATGTAGCCAACTTCCAGCATAAATACTGTTAGTGATAAACAGGTACATACAACATAATGACTACATAGATAATCACAAATAATGAACTTTTCTGGTCATGTAAAACACCCATTCCTCAAGCGGGCAGAAGGCAAAACCTAATAACATTGCATGGTAAAGAAATGTCCATACTTGACACAATTATCATGGGTATATGTTGTAAGTTTACAATTGAAAAACATTGTACAGAATGAAAATGTCTTCACAGAATGCAAATAATAAATATATGGAATGGACTGAATCAAATGATTGCTATCAAGGAGAAAGACATAGAATATTTACATGAAATATGTTTACATATGGGAAATGAAATAGCTCTACCTGCATGCACATGTAAATAAGCATTACTTTTATTACACAAAATATATATTAAAGAAGAGTCTACTGCATGTCTACAAAATATAGATCTATGATGTGGCAAAAAACTAATAAAAATAAAATAAAGTAGTGTACTATGAGAAAATGAGTAAATATTTTATTTGTTTGTGAATAAAATATGGATTTTCTGATAATACTTATCATCAGTTGCACTTATTAGTTTATGTTATTCTTTTTAGTATAATTTCTCTTCCCTGTTATTATGATCTCATCATAATAACACACTTTCATGTGTTGCAGGAAAGTACTTTCATCCAAATCTGCAAGTTCACTTATTTTTTTTATAGTGATGATAATGGTTTTCCTAAATATCATAAGTTTCAACTCAAATAACCAAGAACAAATATTAACATATACTTCAGATGTTACAAACTGAAGTTCCGATGTTCTAAATCAAATTTCAGTTGATTAGATTTGAAGTTCAGTTATTTTAATTAGAGGATTGAAATGATGTAAACGTTAGTCATGTTTAATTCTCCTCAGATTTCTTCAAGAATACACCAATAAAGCCATGGTTCATTAGATAACATACAAACTACTATTGACCATTCAACATTTTACTGTACTTCATAACTCATTCTACCAATGGAGGCTTAAGGAATTTGAAACAGGCATTTATAGCAGGCGCAACAATCTGTTTTACACTGCTAACATATTTAATAAATAACTTTCTTGTCATTGAATTTCACACAAATTCAAAATAACACCACTGATTAAGCAACCGCATTATTCAGGCTGAAGGCGCCATCTTACCAAAAATGACAAACATTTACCTTGCCCAGCAGATATAGGAAGAAATTTGCCCCCCATGTCAGTAAACAAGAGGCCTTTTTCCTCCAAAATATAAAACCAGAGGGCTATTCTTTCTGTCAGCTAATTTATTCCCTCTTTTAGCAAAGAAGGGATGAAAATTTCCACATTTTTTGGCAAATTACAGGTCT